TTTTTTGGTCAGTCGTGGGGCTTGAACTCTGGGCCTGGGCGCTGTCCCTGTGCTCTTCAGCTCAAGGCAAGCACTCTACTGCTTGATCCATAGCGCCACTTCTGGCTTTCTAATGCTTTATTGGCTATAAGTCTTACGGACTTTCCTGCCTGGGCTGGCTTTGAATCGTGATCCTCAGATCTCAGCCTCCTGAGTAGCTAGGATGACAGGCGTGAGCCACCGGCACCCGGCTCCAGATGGCTTTAGTAAAGCTCCATCATTAGATCTGGGTGATGCTCGCCATCCTCACCCTCATGCCTGGCCAGCAGCTGACCCCACGCAAGCTTACTGGGGTGCTTTGTGACTAGGACTTGGCCTTACCACGGAGGCTAGGACCAGGACTTAGGTCTGCAACCCCAAAGTCTGTGTGTATATGGCGGGGGGGGGGTTCAGCCTGAGTCCCCCTACACACACAGGGATGGCACAGCCTGCTCAGCCACCCAGGGAGACACCCAGGAACATGTGGCCCACAGGGCCGAGGAGGAGAGTTGGGGGTGTGGGCAGGAGGGAGTCTCACCTTTTTGGCAAGGTCCCGGGCATCCGGAGTGAGGTAGGGGGGCAGCACCAGCTTCCCCTTGATGATCTTATCCATAGTCTTCTTCCGGTTCTCTGCGGTGAAGGGTGGCTGGAGGAGGCGGAAGGTGAGGGCGGCCTGTGGGCCTCCCACCAGGCCCTGGCCAGGCCCACGCGGGGGCTCTCCCCCACCACTGCCCTCCTCCCACAGAGGCTGGACTTGCCGATCCAGTGAGCATGTCGTACATCAGGGCTCCCAGGCTCCACCAGTCCACCGCGCGGTTGTGTCCACTGCGTACCAGGATCTCAGGAGCCCTGGGGGGTTGGGGTTGGGTAAAACTGTCAGTTAGGCCAGCTCCCTCTGGCTGCCCTCCTCCCCCCTGGCCAGATAGGAGACGCTTACATGTACTCAATGGTGCCACAGAAGGTGTGTGTGACAGCGCCCTCGTGAATGGACTCCTTGCAGAGGCCAAAGTCTGTCAGTTTGATGTGGCCTGAGGAAGAATTGGGGGGGAGGGGGGGACGGTCAGGACCCTGCCTACCACGCTCTCCTTAGCTCTGCCCTGCAGACCCTGGTTGGCAGTTGTGTGTGCGTGCATGGGTGCAAGTGTTTCTATGTGCATGCATATGCCTACCCCATGAGTGCATACATACAGGAAGAGTACATGCATGTATATGCCTCATGTGTGTGTGTGTGTGTGTGTGTGTGCAGATTGCAGATGCGCACCCTGGTTGTTGAGCATGATGTTCTCGGGCTTGAGGTCTCGGTAGATAATGCCTTGGGAGTGGAGATGACCCAGGGCCAGTGTGATCTCCGCCAGGTAGAAGCTGCAGAGACAGGACAGGGTTAAGTATGAGGAAGGAGGAATAGCATGGGGCCAGGGACCCCTCAGGAGATCTGCAAACATCACACCTACCAGGCTGTGTCTTCCAAGAAGATGCCTTCTCGCTCCAGGTGTGTGAAGAGCTCCCCACCTGTGACAAACACATAGCAGCCGTGTGCTAGGACCTGGCCCTATTGCTCTCTGAGCCTCCATTGCTTCTTGGGGAAAGTGGGGCTCGTAAATCCCGCCCTACCTGCCTCCCAGAGCTGCCGTGGGGGACTCAATTCAAATCAGCAAACATCTACGGACGCCTATCCGGTGCCTGGCCCTGTGCTCAGTGAGGCTGGGGGAAGAGAGGAGGAGACCCAGCCACTGCCCTCTGCGGCTCATTCTAATGGGGAGACAGACACGCACACGCTGCGCCAGCGCACCTGGCGGAGGCACCAGGTCCAAGAGCCTCACTACACAACCCCACGGTGGAGAAAGGGGAGATGAAGTTAATCCCAACACAAGACAGAAAGTGAGGTGGCACTGGGCTGTGCAGGGCAGCTCTGTGATGGAGACTGAGATCCAGAACATGAAGGGAAAAACTGGTACTGGGGATGTGGGCAGGAAAGGGCAGGCCTGGCCCACATCACAGTGAGCAATGGGTCCTGGAGGCCAAAGCAGTGTCAAAATTATAGACTCAGCAGGTTCTGAGCAGGAGTGTAGGACTCAATTGTACTCTAAGAAGAAGACCCTGGCCATTAAGCAGAGGAGTTGCCTTCCTGTGAAAGAACAATGACCCCTGCCCACTCTGACTGCTACAAGAGTGGACAGTGGCTACAGCAGAAGACAGAGCTAAATGGAGGACCTCAAGTAGAAATGCATAAAACTACCCTCTGGACCTCTGTGGAAACTCCCACCATCCCCAGCCACCTCCAAAACAATGGGAAACACTAGGCACTGGACAGACGTTTGCTGAATGAACTGATGAACAAATGAAGAGACAAAGGGTACGTGGGAATGTGCAGGCCCTCCTGGTGAGCCTACACGCAACCCTCTCAGGGTTCCCCCAGTCAGCAATGCTGCTTATGCTGCCCCAGCTCACCCTGATCAGACACCTACCGCTGAGGCACTCCAAGATGAGGTAGAGTTTGCCACCTGTCTGGAAAGCATAGGCTAGTTCTACAATGAACGGGTGCTTCACAGACTCCAAAATGTTTCTCTCAGCCCGAGTGTGTGCTGTGTCCTTGGCATTGCGCACGATTTTTGCCTAGAGATGCAGGGGTCCATCAGAAGATAAGGCACCAAGTTCTCCTTTAGTCTCTCACTAGCCAACACCCTTATTTACTCCTCCACTTCCTGCTTTTATTATTTTGCAAGCACAATGTTTAACCTTGAACAAAACTCCAAATAATCAGAGGAACAAAAGAGGGGCTGGTAATTCAGTAAAACTCCAAGATACAATTCTTTTTTTTTTTTTTTGGGGTCCAGTCGTGGGGCCTGAACTCTGGGCCTGGGCGCTGTCCCTCAACTCTTCAGCTCAAGGCTAGAGCTCTATCACTTGAGCCACAGCGCCACTTCCAGCTTTTTTTCTTTTTGCTTATGTGGTGCTGAGGAATCGAACCCAGGGCCTTATGCATACAAGGCAAGCACTCTACCACTGAGCCACCTTCCCAGCCCTTCCAAGATACAATTCTTTACATACTAAACACAACTGAGTCCTACCAGCCAAGGTCTGAGTACACTGTGGACCTACAGTGACATCATGATCACCCCCTCAATAATTAGTACATGAAATCAGGGAAACAGGGGCTGGGAATGTGGCTTAGTGGTAGAGTGCTTGCCTAGCATGCATGAAGCCCTGGGTTTGATTCTTCAGTACCACATACACAGAAAAGGCCGGAAGTGGCGCTGTGGCTCAAGTGATAAAGTGCTAGCCTTGAACAAAAAAGATGCTCAGGGACAATGTCCAGGCCCTGAGTTCAAGCCGTAGGACAGGCCAAAAAAAAGAAAAGAAAACAAAAGAAAAAAAAATCAGGGACACATGGTGAAACATGATCACAATGAGCTGCTTTCCTACAGCCAGGTCAAAAACAACTAGATTTTAATCTATCTATCTATCTATCTATCTATCTATCTATCTATCTATCTATCTATCTATTGTTGGTCCTGGGGCATGAATTTGGGGCCTAGGCACTGTCCTTGAGCTCTTTTGCTCAAGGCTAGGGCTCTACCACTAGAGCCATAGCACCACTTCCAGTTTTCTGGTGGTTAATTGGAAAAAAGTCTCAAGGACTTTTCTGTCTGGACTGGCTTAGAACCATGATCCTCAGATCTCATCCTCTGAGTAGCTAGGATTACTGGCATGAACCACTAGTGCCTGGCCACAACTGGAATTTTTTTAAAGGTCAATGGTCCACAACATTTACATATTCTACATGGTTCTCTTGGTTCCCAGCCAGGACCTTTTTGTCATATTCTGTCACTCCATTGAAATGCCCTGACATTTTGCTGCAGTCAGCCTTTTCAGAGACTGGTTTATCCTCTCTAACAAAGGGTTTTTCAACTTGACACTATTTTTAAAATTCTTTAATGCTTTGGAGACGTGGTCTCATTCTGTAACCCAGGCTGGCTTCGAACTTTTACGCTACTGCTGCTTCAGTTTCCCCAACACCGGGACTACAAGTACACCCCACAAGGCCTGACTAACTTTGATACCACTGGCATAGTGGGAGTCGGTCATGTCCACTGGGGAATGTTTAGCAATATCCCTGCACTCGAGGCCAACAGCATTCCCCTCACCAGTTCCGATACAAACGCCCGGCCAAACACTGGCCCATGACCCCTGGGAGTTCCAATGCACCAACAATTATCAACAATTACAATAATTGTCACAACAAATAATAAACTAGCCAATGACAAAGACAAGGACCATGTCCTCAGTCCTGTTGATTGCTGGCTTTGGAAGCCTGACATCACACACAGGGGTGGCAGCCACAGTACTTGCTGGCTAAGCAAATGACTCACCTTCCTCAGGACTTTCATGGCATATATTTTGCCCAAGTTGGTGCCTTGCACCTTTCGAACCTGGAACACCTGTAGGGCAGGGGAGACAGGATCAACTTCCCTCTCCAAGACCTACCTTCAAGAAGCCCCACCCTGCAGCTGTAGCCTTGAGACCAAAAAGCCAAGGGCGGGTCGGTAAAGATCTCTATCCACTGAGAACATCTGCCCTTCCCTCCTAGGTTTCCAGCTCTGAATCCCATCAGAGGCGTGGCTCCCTCCCAAGTCAACTCTTTACTGAGAGTCCTACGAAGGCCCCAGGGCTGCAGCTGAGGAAGTGGGAGTGGGGGTGGGGTGGGGTGCCAGTACCTTGCCATAGCCCCCCTTGCCCAGCACACGCAGCAGCTCAAAGCAGTGCGGACCGATGCGCTCAGCGCCCACATTCACACTGGTCTCGGTCAGCTCCACCTCCTCATACTGTCCCACAGGCCTAAGGGCACAAGAAGTCGTCCATTCAGACCAGGCTCCGGCGCTCCCAGGGACCCCTTCCCCACTCCATCCCCCAAACCCCTTCAGGACCCTCACTCACTCCTGGCCAGCAGCCCTCAACTCGGCAAGGGGACACACATCCTGTGAGAAACCGAGGGGTAAGACGCAAGGAAGGGGCACTGCTTGGCCGGGGAGAGGCGGGGGCGGGGGGGGGAGGGCTGGGGAGGAGAGGCCGGGGCAGAAAGCGACAGTCGGTGCCCGAGGCTGGGACGGGAGAAGGGGCGGGGAGAGGGTGGGAGCTGAAGCGGGGCCGGAGCGGAGGAGGGTCGGGGTTTGCAGGGGTCGGAGCCCACTGTGGGAAGCAGAGCCGCGGCTCTGGCCTGGCCCGAGTGACAGGCTCGGCTCCCACATCCAGTGGCCCCGGGAGGAGCACTCACCGCGGGGCTGAACTCCGGCTCGCCCTCCTCCTCGCTGCCTTCCTCCGTCTCCAGGTCTAGATCAAACACGGCCGCCATGGCCGCGCCGGCCCCGCAGGACCCTCGGCGGGCTGGAAGCCGAGCTCTGACTGACAGTCCCAGGTCTGGGCCAGTACATAATCATTCCGCGCCAGATGTCGCCGACTCCGTGACGCAAAATAGCTTCGCCTGGTTTCCAGACAGGCCTGTTCGTTTGGCCGGGAGCCAAGATGGCGCCTGCGCAATGCCTTTTGGGAGTTGTAGTCCAAGAGATCCGTCCTACCTATTCCTTCAGCCCGCTGAACCTGCTTTCTATTCAACCTCCCTTCCAAACACTACGGTTCAGCATCAGATAGGAGCGACTCAAAGGCTCCCAGTTGGGGGCTCCAGGGAAAGTCTGGGTTTGGATGTAGAAAGTCATAAGTGCACATAGGTGTGAATGTCAAGCTTAGTGCCAGGCTGTTACCAGGATCCTGTCCTAGAAAGCTTGGGACATCTGAACAGGAGCTTCTGTCAATTCTTAAGCACACTTACTAAATTCAACTGCCTGGTACAGAATAGGCACATTACAGAATATGGATGAAAAGATGAGTGAACATATTAAACTTGATTTGTGTTATATGGGACTGTAGCTGCAGCCTTGAAGCCTTCAGAGGGTTCTCAATACCGAGTTGGCTAGGAAAGTATCCAAACCTTTGTTGGAATTCAGAGCTAGAAACCTAGAGCAGGGAAGGGCAGATTTTATCAGAATTGATAGAGATCTTTACTGCCCCACCCTGGCTGTGTGGGCTCCGATTGCTGGGGTTTATCTATTTGTTTTTACCTCTTGCACAGAAGAGGCTCAGTGTCCACTCTGTAGGACAGAATTTGGGGGTTCCCAGGTTGGTGACATGGTGACGGGATTACTTGATGGCTTTTTTTTTTTTTGTCGGTTGTGGCGTTTGAACTCTGAGCCTGGGTGCTGTCCCTTAGCTCTTCAGCTCAAAGCAAACTCACTACATTTGAGCCGCAGCACCACTTCTGGTTTTCTGGTGGTTTGTTGGAGATAAGAGTTTCAGGGACTTACCTGCTCAGGCTGGCTTTGAACTGAGATCCTCAATCTCAGCCTCCTAAGTAGCTAGGATTACAGGCGTGAGCCACCAGAAGCCCCCTCCCCTCCCACTCCGGTGTGAAGGGTTTACTTGAATGTAGCCTCAGATTGTGATCCCACGAGAGAAGGTCCTCAGGTTTGACCAGAGGTGAGTATAAGGTAGATCCCTACTACAGATTATTCCTGAGGTCCAGCTTGTGGGCTGGTTTTCACTTAGCCCCAGATTGCAGAATTTCCCCTCTTCTTCCCTCCTCCCCTCCCTGGCTGAGCCCCACTGGAGATAAACAATCCCATAGTCTAGGCACTTCACTCAGTCACTTTATGTGGGTAGGAGCCTGGGGAGCTGTGTCACAGCTCCTGTGCTGAGCAGAAACAGAATTCTTGATTCTGAACAACAAATACAGTCTAGAGATTCTCTCTTCCTGTGCTAGTGTGTCATGAGCCAAAGTGTTACTACTGCAGAGGTGAAGATCCAAGACTCTTGGAGTTTCCAACCAAGAATTGAATGAAGGTACACACACACACACACACACACACACACACACACACACACTAGTAAAGTGGCAAAGCAACGAGTTTAATTAAAGAGAGAGAATACACTGTTAAGGGAAAAGATAGGTTCAAGCTAGGTGGCTCAAGAGCAAACACATGGTTAAGAAAATTTCAGCTTTTTAGTCAGGTACTGATGGCTCACGCCTATAATCCTAGCTACTAAGGACACTGAGATCCGAGGATCGCAATTCAAAGCCAGCCCAGGCAGGAAAGTCCGAGACTCTTTTTTTTTTTTTTTTTTGTCAGCCGTGGGGCTTGAACTCTGGGCCTGGGCGCTGTCCCTCAGCTCTTCAGCTCAAGGCGAGCACTCTACCACTTGAGCCACAGCACCACTTCCAGCTTTTTTCTGCTTATATGGTACTGAGGCATCAAACCCAGGGCCTCATGAATGCAAGGCAAGTGCTCTACCATTGAGCCACCTGCCCAGCCCTAGCAGCGGAATTCTTGAAACAGGGTCCCTGAATGAAGAAGGCAGTCTAGAAAAATTTTCTCTGCAGTGCTGGTTAGTGTGCCAAGGCCAGAGCACTCAAACTTGGAGAAGAAGCACATGGTGCATGTTCCAAAATGCTGAGGCCGCTTATGAATACGAACAGAGAGGAGAAGGGGCCTGGAAGCCGAGTGGGTATGTAAGAGTTAGTGGAGGCAGAGACCTAGCCTGCATTCACATCCACTACAGTAGGACCTAGAAGCCTAGAAGGGTTTTTTGTTGTTGTTGTTTAGTTTTCCCTGAGCCTCTGTCCTCATCCACACACTACTGACCACAAGCCACTTGCACTTCTACTACTTAGGCCACTGGCGTGAGTGAGGGACCCTGTGAGGTGTTTATAGTTAGCTCTACAAGTATCCTGGAATTTGCATAAGACAAAGATAAGGGATTTAATCTCAGGATTTCATTTCATTTTAATCTCAGGTTGTCCAAGTTTCACTCCTGTAAGTGGCAGGAAGACACACATTAGAAAGGTGGACGTGAGGGCCTGGGTTTGGGCCCAATCCTATCTGGGGAAGATGGTGGCAGAGTGTGTGTGTGTGTGTGTGTGTGTGTGTGTGTGTGTGTGTGTAGCTGTTGTTACTTCTCCAGAGCTAGCATCCAAGGGCAGCCATGGACTGGATGGAGGATTATAAGAGGACCCAGCAGCTCCCAGATCCTTGTTCGATGGTCCTTGAGCCCAGAAAGTTTTGGTGTCAAAATGGCACCATTCACTGGGTATGCCTGTAATCCTAGCTACTTAAAAGGCTGAGATCTGAGGATAGAGGTTCAAAGCCTGCCCAAGCAGGAAAGTCCTAGAGACTCTTATCTCCAATAAACCATCCAAAAACCAGAAGTAGAGCTGTGCCTCAATTGGTAAAGCACCAGCCTTGAGTGAAAAAGCTCAGGGACAGTGCCCAGGCCCTGAGTTCAAGCCCCAGTACTGGGAAAGAAAGAAGAAAAGAAAAGAGAGGAGGGAGGGGAAATGGCTCTGCACTCTGGAAGAGATCTAAGGCTTGAGAGTGGGTGTGGCTGGGCTAGGCAACAAAGAGAGAGGCAGGGAGGGCTCTCGGAATGGAGGGCACCTCAGCCCCTCCCTCCCCAGCACTTCATCCCTATCCTCAGATCCCAGCGCTATTTGAAATGAGACAGGAAGTGGGCAACCGGATAGTTAGGTCCATCAATGCCCAGCCCCTGGCAGAGGCCCAGCAGCCGGTGACAGGCCTCTGCAGGGGTGTGTCCACCACATGCCACGTTGCAGAATGGCTCCTCGTACTTGCCGGGCACCAGAGACTCTTCCAGAAGATTATAGTGCAGCAGCCCCTGATCATGCAGGGCCTGCAGGGTGTCTCGCACCGTGGTGGAACTCAGCACCTGCAAATGCTGAGACAGCACACACATGATGCCTACCAGGTGGCCACGGGCCCGTGGGTGGGGGGGCAGGGCAGGCCGCAGGCCACAGGCCACCATGGCTGAAGCCAGCAGAATATCAACCCCGTAGAGCTCCAGGATCCAATTACGCAGGTAGAACCCGCCCATGCGCGGGTTGATCTCAATGAGCTTCGGCCCACACCCTGTCAGCTTGAGCTCCACATTGAAGACCCCGTTGAGCAGCCCACAGCCCAGGCAGCAGCGGAAGGCAGCCTGCACCATCTGAGCCTCCTGCTCCGGTGCCAGCCTGGTGGGCATGCAGGCCGCCGTCTCTGTGAAGCCAGGCAGCCTTGTGGGGCCGTTGTCAGAGACAAAGGCAGCCAGCAGCTGGCCGCCAAAAACCACCAGGTCCACATCATGCTCAGTGCCCTCCACAAATTCCATCAGCAGCATGGCATTGCCCCAGCCCAGCCCGATGCCTGGATAGTCAGTCTCGCCTTGCAAGTCACGGGAAATCCGGGTAAAGTGCTCTCGGCACTGGGGCCCATCCTTCACCAGCTGCACGCCCACTGCACCTGACCCGAACTCCAGCTTCATCACACCCGGCAGGGGGACCTGGTGGATGGCTCGCTCCACATCAGCCTCGGTCTGCAGCGGGCAGCAGGGCACAGCATGGAGGGAGGGTGCAGGCCAGGGTGGGCCCTGGTGACACAACAGGTGCAGCTGGGTGTGGCTCTTCTGCTTGGCCAGGCGCATGGCAGCTGGGGGGCTGCAGGGCAGGCCCAGCTCCTGACACAGCAGGGCTGTAAGCACCAGACAGTCATCCCAGAAAGAGAAGCAACCATCCAGCTGCAGGCCACGGGCCCGCACCTGCTCGGCCAGCAGATGTGCATTCTCCTCATCCTTACGGTGTTCTGTCACGTCGAAGTGGATGAAGGTTTGCACCAGCTGGGACACAAAGTGGTTGGGGTCTGCATCCACTACGTGCAGCTGCAAGAAGCACAGGAGAGGACATAGCAGATGCTGACAGGCAAGATGGAGCTTGGGGAAGGGCCCCAGCCTGCCAGCTTCATGAGCTCATAAGCACTAGGTACTCAGTTTGGCACTGGTGGCTTGGGCTTGCAATTGGAAGATCAATGTTCAAAGCCAGCCCAGAGACTCTATTTCCAATTAACCAGCAAAACAATGAGGAACTGAAGGAGTGGCTCAATTAAGGTGCAATGCCTATGTGCCTCTAATATGTAAAATAGCATTTATCGAAATGGATTATAGGAAGTGGAAGCAGAGGTTGTTTCTTTGTTTAAAAAAGGCTAGGGCCGGGTGCTGTGGCTCATGCCTGTAATCCTACCTACTCAGGAGGCTAAGATCTAAGGATCTCAGTTCAAAGCCAGCCCAGGAAGGAAAGTCCATGAAACTCTTATCTCTAATAAAACCATCAGAAAACCTGAGATGGCACTGTAGCTCAAGTGGTAGAGTGCTCGCCTTGAGCAGAAGAGCTGAGGGACAGCACCCAGGCCCAGAGTTCAAGCCCCATGACTAACAAAAAGAAAAGAAAAGAAAAAAGAAGGCTAGGGCTGGGAATGTGGCCTAGAGGTAGAGTGTTTTTGCCTAGTATGCATGAAGCCCTGGGTTTGATTCCTCAGTATCACATAAAGGCAAAAGGCAGGAGTGGTGCTCTAGCTCAAGTGGTAGAGCGCTAGCTTTGAGCACAGAGACTCAAGTGCCCAGGCCCTGAGTTCAAGGCCAGGATGAGCAAAAAGAAAAAAGAAAAAGACAGCTAAGAAGGTGGCTCAGTAGTAGAGTGCTTGCTTAGCATGCATGAGGCTCTGAGTTCAATTCCTTAGAAAGAAGAAAGTAAAAAGAAGAGGAGGCGGAGGAAGAAGAAGCAGAAGCAGCTGCCAGGCACCAGTGGCTGGGCACCAGTGACTCATGCCTATAATCCTAACTACTTAGGTAGCTGAGATCTGAGGATCACAATTTGAAGCCAGCCTGGGCAGAAAGGCTCCCATGAGACTCTTACTGCCAATTAACCATTCAAAAACCGGACCTGGCACTGTGACTCAATGTGGTAAAGCACTAGCCTCGTGCAAAAGAATTCAGGGACAGCACTTATACCCTGAATTCAAGCCCCACAACTGACAGAAGAAGCTGCCCCATTGTGTGCTCAATAATGTTGTAGAATCGTGTAGGGCTCTGTGTTCCCAAAGCTTATGATCCACTGAGAAAACACAGAAACAAAGCAGCAGATGCACAAGTTGGCCACTGAAAAAGGAGGGAGGTGTCTTCTGCTTGGTTAACCCTTAGCATCAGGAGGGGGTGACATTCCCGCTGGAGGACCCACTGCCAGGCAGGGAGCAAAGCCACGTGGCCTGCTGGATGCAGGGTTCCCAGAGTCATGCACTGTGATAGAGGGCAGAGGAAGCCACAGGCCAGCCTGGGAGCCTCTGTTTACTTATCTGTTTACTTATCTACTCAGTCGGGTGCTGGTAGGTAGCTCCCACCTTTAATCCTAGCTACTCAGGTGACTATGAGATCCGAGCATCACCATTCAAAGCCAGTCAGGGCAGGAAAAATCAGTGAAATTCTCATCTCCAATTAACCACCAGAAAACCAGAAGTGGCACTGTGGCTCACGTGGTAGAGCCATGAGATGAAGGGCTGAGGGACAGCGCCCAGGCCCAGAGTTCACGCCCCACGACTGACTGGCCCCGCAGCTGGTTCTGCCACCGAGCGAGCGGATGGCCTGCGCAAGCCCCGCCCCCGTCGCTCTGGCCACGCCTCCAACCTGAACCCCGCCCTCTCTATCCAGCCCCGCCCCTCTGTCAGGGCTCCGCCACTCAGGCTCCGCCTTGGGGCCGGGCCCCACCCACCTTAAGGCCGTAGTGACGCGCTGCCTCCCACACGAACTTCTTGCTGGTGCCGCCCGCGCCTATCACCAGCAGCTGCTTTCCCTCCATGAGGCAGTGCGCCGAGCGCCGGAGCATCGTCTCCACCAGCGGCGCGGCCGCCGCCTCCTCCGCCGCGCGCCCCGGGCGGGGTGCGGCCCACAGCCCCTCGAGCGCGCCGCACGCCTCCAGACACAGCCCGCAGTTCAGCTTCAGGAGCACGGGGGTCAGCTCGCGGCCCACCACGGTCAGAGCGAAGTCCACGCCTGCGAGGGGCGAGGGGCGCTCGCACGAGGCCGCGATCTCACCTCCCGGGACCCCACGCCACCGCACCGCCCGTACGCACCGAGGAAGTCGGTGCGGGCCTGGCGCCCGCCGCGTTGCTCAGCGCTCAAGCCGGCCTCCAGGGCCAGCACGGCGGCCAGCGCGGCCTCAGCCGCCGTCTTGACGCGCCGCCACACGACCTCCACCTGCGCCGCCTCCCGCAGCCCACACTGCGCCAGCGCCGCGTCCAGCGTCCTCGGCAGGGTGTTCTGGTGCCGTAGGGGCCGGTCCCCGCGACCCACGCCGCACAACACCTAGGTAGGGTGCGACTCAGAGAGGCCCTCCCCAGATTGACCTCACTCCAGCTGCACCGGCACCTTCCCAGTGCTAAGATCCAGGCCAGACCCTTCTCTGGGCATTCAAGAATCCTCATTCTCCAACCTGTCTTAAACTGCAAAAAAGAAAATACCTTTCCCTGTCATGCTCCTCCGGTCCCCACACGCTATCCGGCTTCCTGTCTCTCTGCCCTGATGGCTCCGTGCATGTGTCATCCTAGCTCCCGCGCCCACCAGTGTGTGTGCCCTTACTGTCCAAGGCCTCTGGGAGCCCCTCATCTCCTCCACTCGAGCCCTGCCCTGGGGGTAGACCATCTCCCTCCCAGCTGGGTATCCAAAGAGTCCCCAAGCCCTGCTGCACTTTCAGCATGTATATTCTTCCTGTAGGACATCCGGAGGATTGTGGACTCTTAATGTTAACTCCCCCTGAGAACCATGCCATGGTGAGCCAGCCCCTGGACCTAGACACCAGCATGGACTGAGCATGTGTTAAGGGCACCCAATCTAAGATGGGCTCAGGAGGGTTTCAAGGGGAAAGGAAAAACAAAGTCAAAACAGGCCCAAGTGTCTCAATAAAGGTAACCAAAATCTGCTCATTGATTTGGTCCTCTCTGCCCATAGCAGTTGCCCAGGATCCTTCATCTCCTCAGCGTGGCCTGGGCCTGGGCCTTTCTCACCTTGCTCAGCAGGGGCCTGTCACCCTGAGTCCGACACACCATGGCACAGATACGCACAGCCAGCTCTGGGCCACGTAAGGGACCATCTGGGAGAAGATGGGGAGGTCTAAGCCCAGCACAGAAGGTCCAGGAAGCAGAGCCACAATCCCACTCCTGCCAGGCACAGCTGGCTCTCACCTGGGAAGGGCAGCTGGGCAGGTGGGCACATGGCCTCCACCATGACGCTCTCTTCCTCTTCCAGCTTCTCCAGCAAGGCCATCACCGTGCTCACCACTGCGTCTGGCTCTGCCCGTGGATGCAGGCGCAATGTCTGTCGCCCCAGCCAGCGCCAGCCGCTCAGCTTCACGGCCACCTGCATCAGAAAGGGCAAAGAGGCCTCCTTATCACTGCTCCACACACCTGGAAGGTGAGATGCTCAGGCCTAGCTGAGGTGGGAGGGCATGGCACTGTCCCCAAGAAGTGGGGACACTGGCAGAGCTAAGTGTTGGGGACAGCTTCCCAGCAGAAGGACTTGGTAACCACCCACACATCAGCATCTACTCAGCGTTACACAGCCCTCCGGAAGCAGGAGCCAGTTACCTGTGAGGCACTGGCCAGGGCTTCCGAGTGTAGGAAGGCCCCCACTTCCTCTTTCACCAGGCTTTCCTGGCCCTCTTTGCCACTCAGCTCCACCAGGTGTAGTCCGGGGCTGGCATGCCCTCTCCGCAGCAGCCCCGGAGGCTTATAGGTGAAGGCCAGGGTAGCTGGCACAGCCACGCCACCCTGCTGGGACAGCAGCTGCCTCATGAGGAGCCGCTCCTCCAGCAGCCGGGCCAGCTCTGCTGTGGCTCCTGTGGGGCAAGTCAGGTTCCGGGCCAGCTCTGCGGCCTCCCTGCCCCAGCCAGGGCCAGGACCCAGGCCTGCCAGGAAGTAGGTGGCCCGCCGTGGGGGGGCAAAGTCGTCCAGGAATGTTAGGCCCCCTGGGTGGAAGCTCACAGCCTTGGAGACCATCAGAGTGGCCTCACCCGGCTGTCTTGGTGCTGGCACCTTGGTCAGCCAGGCAGGGGACAGGCAAAGGAGCAGGTTTCCTGGAGGCAGAGGGAGGCAAGTGGCTAGCCAGGGAAATTTAAATGTCCCCAGCGGGCTCCACCTCCAGCCCAGGCTCCTGTGTCATGGGGGGGACAGTTTGCTCCCAGAACCCACCCCTACTCAGAGGATAGCAGCTGGCCCCATGGAATGTGCATGGTAGCCAAGGTTGGTGGGTATTTTGGGATGTAGCTGGGTCAGGGCAGGGCTGCCCTTTCTGTGGGAGGGGGTGGGGAACTTGGGCACACACTTACCCGGGCTCTGGACCCCACCCTCCAGCAGCACAGACAGAAAGGTGCTGGGGGGTCCCAGAATGCACAAGGTCACCTCGGCGCCAGGGTAGCCTTTGGGAAGGAGCAATGCAAAGCTAAGGAGGGGCTCTTCCTCCTGCCCTGGGACTCAAGCTGACCCCCTGCTGTCATCCTTTGCCTGCCTCCCCCCTCCCCCATCCCTGTTGCAGAGCAGAAGAATGAAGGACACAGAAGAGAGAAAGGTGGGAAGGCAGCATGCCCACTCATCCCTCCCATCCTGCCGGTCTCCCTCTGCAGCTGGTCTGGGGTCACTGACAGCTGCTGAGAAGATCTAGCTCAATCCTGAGCTCGGACTTTTTGTGTGGCCTTCGGAGGATTTCTTTTTCACTGAGCATATTTTTCAAACCTGAGATTCTCATGTAGTCTAACCATGGGAACTTTGTTTTACACAAAATTATATGTGGCCAGCCGGGCGCTGGTGGCTCACGCCTGTAATCCTAGCTACTCAGGAGGCTGAGATCTGAGGATCGCGGTTCAAAGCCAGCCTGGGCAGGAGAGACCGTGAGACTCTTATCTCCAATAAACCACCAGAAAACCGGAAGTGGCGCTGTAGCTCAAGTGGTAGAGCGCTCAGCCTTGAGCTGAAGAGCTGAGGGACAGCGCTCAGGCCCAGAGTTCAAGCCCCATGACCGACCAAAAAAAAAAAAAAAAATTATATGTGGCCTCCTGAGTGTGTGTGTGTGTGTGTTTGGTGCCTGTCCTGGGGCTTGAACTCAGGACCTGAGTGCTGTCCCTGAGCCTTTTTGTTTTTGTTTTTTTCTCAAGGCTAGCACTTTACCACTTGAACCACAGCTCCAGTTAATAAGAATCTCAAGAACGTTCCTGCCCTGGCTGGCTTTGAACCCCTATCCTCAGATCTCAGCCTCTTGAATAGCTACAATTACAGGCATAAGCCACCGGGAACTCAGCCCAGCATTCTAAAGTTGGTTTTGTTTGTTTGTTTGTTGGTCCTGGGGCCTGAACTCTGGGCCTGGGCGCTGTTCCTCAGCTCTTCAGCTCAAGGCTAGTGCTCTACCACTTGAGCCACAGCGCCACTTCTGGCTTTTTCTGCTTATGTGGTGCTGAGGAATGGAACCCAGGGCCTCATGCATGCAAGGCAAACACGCTACCACTGAGTCACCTTCCCAGCCCCCTCCCAAGTTTTAAAACAGAAGACAGGAGAGAAATCTTGGGATCTCAACTGCTCGGCCACCTCCCCAGCACCTCCTAAGACAGTTGGCTAGAAGTGTACGCTCTAAGACAGTTGGCTAGAAGTGTACGCTCTACGGAGTATGTTTGACTAATTCAGCAGCAGGAGTCGGGAGGACAGTGGAAAGCTGGCCTTCACCGGGGTCAGATGCCTGCCCACCCGCCCTGGTGCCTGACTTTGCCTCCCTGTCTTCAGATGAAACCAGTCAAGCTCCACAGGGCTGAGGAAGCTACTGGGTACAGGTCCCTCCCTGCTTCCGGGAGGAACCCCCCCCCACCCCCACCCCCTTGGAGTCCCAAGGCACCTGTGCGGGGCACCTGGCTGCGGTCCTGGGTCTCCGGAAGGCCAGCTTGCTGCAGGCAGCTCTGCAGGAGATTGTAGTAGTAGACAGTCCAGGCCCGGGCCTCGGCGCCCTCCGGGGAGCCCTTGCAGTCCAGACCCACATCCTGCCGCCAGGGGCCAGGGAAGCAGGCTGCTGGTGGCAGGCCAGCGCTCCCTCTCCATGGTCCTTCCTCTCGGTCCAGGTCCTTGGAGCCCAGGGGGCAGTCCCACTCAGAACTCAGCGGATCTAGGGAGAGCTGGGGAGGGGGGGGGCAGAAGCGGCAAGGCTTGGGCACAGTGGGCAAGGCAATACCTGAAGTCATCCAATGGTGTGAGCCCCTTCCCCGCCTCTCCTAGCCCGGCTCACTTCCAGGATGGAGGCCAGGGAGGTTCAGGCCTCTTCCCAGCAGATGGTGGGGTTTGGTAGGCACGGCAGGCCCGAAGGAGAGCAGTAAGCAATATCCTGCTGACTGCCCACTGACCCCCATGCCATGTGTATATCTGCTCCAGCTGGGCTCTCAGAAACAAAAGAATGGGGTCTTGTGTTCCTCAGGATCAGCACAGCACCCCGACAGAGCCTGACACACTCTAACTGCTGATGCTTGATGACTGAGGAACCCATGAGATGACCCGCTGACCCCTGCCTGCTTCTCCCAGACTCACTGACCCCATCGCCAGCATGGACTCCACCAAACTTTGTAGATGGATTTCTGCCATTGTTATCCTGAAGCAGGCCTTGAAGACATGCTGTGACCTTCCCCCCGCCCCCGCCCCCTCCACGTATCCCAGGCTAGCCTTGAACTCTTAATCTTCCTGCTTTTAATCCCATGTGCCCACCACACAGGGTTTACCCTTTTCAAGTGCATGGAATTCTAGCACTGCTTTTTCTTCTCTTTTTTTCTTTGTTGTTGTTGGTTGTGGGCTTGAACTCAGGGCCTGAGCACTGTCCTTGAGCCTCTTTATGCTCAAGATGAGCGCTCTACCACTTGAGCCACAGCAGCGCTTCCAGTTTTTCTGGTGGTTAATTGAAGACAAGAATCTCATGGACTTTCCTGCCCGGACTGGTTCTGAACCATGATCCTCAGATCTTAGCCTCCTGAGTAGCTAGGATGACAGGTGTGAGCCACCAGCATCTGGCTTCTTTTCCTTTTGCTGGTCTTGAAGGTCTGGGCCTCCAGCCGGCCAGGCAGGCATCCTACCACGGAGCCAAACCTCCAGTCCTGGCACTTGTTTCTTTGCAGAAAATCTGACACTTCTGCCCCCTCCCAGAAGCTGCCTCCCTTTCCCATGAAGCCACCAGGAGGCTCCATGTGACACAGGCGGGGACACTTACTCTCTGGTACCTTGCGTTGCCTGGCCTGGACAAGTCTGGCAGGGGTCTGGCCTCCAGCAGACGCGCTGGACCACTTTGGGAAGGTTGAGAGGTCTCTCTGAACTGGGTGGATGCCCAGTGTCTGCCCTGTGCCACCCAGGGGTGTAGCTGTGGAGATCCCTGAGTGACTGAGAGGCAGCGGGTTGTGGCCGGGTCATTAAGGTCTGGACGCCAGACTTGGGCATGGGTCAGGAGCCACATCTACTAGAAGAGGTGTACCCAGATGGGAGGAACGTGGGGTCCCTCTGTTCCCCTAAACCTAGAAGGATACTGGGGTTGCACATGAAGCTCACAGACACTGTGGAAGGCTGCAAGGCCGACATCCCAGCCTGGGAGGGAGGAGACAAGCACCTGGCACAGGGGTGGATCGAGGGCGTGGAGCTCCGTGCACACGGTGCTCTCCAGGCAGGCCTGGGGCGCCTGTAGTCTCCCATGGGGGCCTCCTTCTCCCCAAGGGTTTGGACCACAGGAGACTTACCATCTTGAAGGTGGAGAAGCTGAGTGAGAGAGGGAGGGGCAGGGACAGGACAGAGGTCAGGCCGGCCAGCGCCCTACCCACCCTCCAGCCTCAGGCTTCAGGAATGAAGACACCCTCTGTCCTGGGCCTGCCAGGACAGGGCCAAGGCTGCCTGCCCCACGCTGCCCCATGCAAAGGAGGAAGCTCTGTCTCAAGGACCCCAAGGGTCCTGTACCCCAGAGTCCCCCTCCCCCTCCCGGTTCTCCAGGCTTCCTTTGCTGGAATTCCCCTCTGAGTCTTTCCAGTGCCCAGTACCATGGGGGCCCTGGTGAGTGTCAGGACAGACACAGGGCTGGCATGGGGCAGGGGGGAGCCAGGGTGCCCTCCCTGCTGTCCCCCTCCCCAGCTCCCCTGGGATGGGCAGGGGCCACAGGGGTACCTGCAGGTGGTGACTTGGCAGAGCTTCTCAGCAGGCAAGAGCAAGTGGTGCTGCGGGCAGCGCTGCCACAGCTCGGGGCAGGGGTGAGCGTCCTTATATAGTTTATGGACCTATGCCCAGGGGCAGGCAGGGACATCAGCTGCCCAAGCCACAGACCCAGCCAGGGCCCCGCCCACCTCCCGGGCCCAGCCTTGGGGCTCTGTTCTAGCTGCCTGGAGGGCCCCAGAGAGAGACAGCAGGGGTCTTCTGAGATGTAGAGCTCCCATGGAGAGCCTGGGGTGAAAGAATAGGGACTGGCCAGGCGCTGGTGGCTCACGCCTGTCATCCTAGCCACTCAGGAGGCTGAGATCTGGGGATTGTGGTTCAAAACCAGCCCATGCAGGGAAGTTTGTGAGACTTATGTCCAATAAACCACCAGAAAAACAGGAGTGGCCCTGTGGCTCAAGTGGTAGAGCACTAGCCTTGAGCTGAAGAGCTGAGGGACAGTGCCTAGGCCCAGAGTTCAAGACCCATGACCAACAAAAAAAAAAAGGAAGGAAGGAAGGACAGGGACTGACCAGGCCCAAGACTGAGGTAAAGAGACAAATGGACCCACCACAAAGAGCTGGGGAGTCAAATGCAAAGAGGAGAGGGGTGGGTGAGCCTGGGCCAAGTGGGCAGAGCCGGGTGCAGGGGTGCCCTGGGGGGAGGAGGAGGAGGGGCTGACAGAGTGGCACTGGTGAACCCCAGACACTGGTGAATTCAGCTGGCACTGCCCACTCCCCTTCAGCTGTGGGTCTCAGGCAGGAGGGTTTGGCGTCCCTGCGGAGCCCCTCATAACGCTGGTCTGTGGTCTCTGCACTCCCCTAGAACCCAGGCCCTCTGGCCTAGGCCTGCACGCTAAAATACAATGCCAATAAGATCACCTCTGGCAGCCAGACGCTGGTGGCTCACGCCTATCATCCCAGCTACTCAGGAGGCTGAGATCTGAGGATCACAGCTCAAAGCCAGCCCAGCCAGGAAAAGCCGTGAAACTCTTATCTACAATAAACCACTAGAAAAAACAAACAAACAGAAGTGGCCCTGTGGCTCGTGGTAGAGCGCTCGCCTTGAGCTGAAGAGCTGAGGGACAGCGCCCAGGCCCAGAGTTCAGTTCCCATGACTGACTAAAAAAAAATCCTCTCTGCCTGCCCATACACAGCCACACCCCTCCCCCTGGCCCCCAGGCGCACCCCAGCACCCCAGAGGCTCCCCCAGCCCTCGCCAGGTATGCCCCCCGGTGTGGGACCTGCATGTCTCTCCTTTGGGTCTCACGGCTCAATGCCCTGCCCATGCACAGCCTCCTGTGGGACCCCACCCCTGCCTGTCACTGGAGGGGGTCTGAGGACAAGTGTTACCCACAGTACCCCAGCCCTGCCCACATCACACTCCCCAGAGAATCGTCTAGAATGGCTCACTGGCTTTGCAGATCCCCATGTGCCCCCTGTAGCCTCCCCAGGTCCTTCAGTGAGATGTAACCACCCCCGAAAACCAGTTCCTTGCTGTATGCATGGCCCCAGCTCCTGGGGATCTGTGTGAGGGTCAGGCAGGAGTGGCTGAAGTCCAAAGAGTGAGCACTTGGGTGTTTAACAGGCTCTTAAACCTCTGGGGACTGCGTTGGTCACCTTCGGGTGCAGGTTTGGCTAGGCGCTCTCCCAGTGGCCTAAGAGAGAGTGTTTCTTGCCTGGTTTCAGGCATGGGGAGGAGCACTACAATTCTTGGCCTTTATGCTTAGGAAAGTCAGTCCAGAGAGGTGATATGATTTGGTTGAGGCCACACAGCTGGTGACAGGCCATGCTGGGATCTTTTCTCTGCCAGAATGTGGCTCTCTGTGCCCAGTGTGTGGTGTTCTCCCATGCCCAGGTCAGGCTGACCAATACCAAGAAACTGGTGTTTACTTTGTAAGTGATGAGAGAAAAATTCTAAGTCCTAAATTTAGTCACAAAAGCAGGAGGTTGGAGGGCAGGGAATAACAAGAGTGAATCAGCGAACAAAAATACTGTTCTAGCCCAGCACCAGTGGCTCACACCTGTAATCCTAGCTACTCAGGAGGCTGAGATCTGAGGATCATGGTTCAAAGCCAGTTAGCCAGGACAGGAAAGTCTGTGAGACTTTTATCTCAATTAACAACCAGAAAAACATGGGGCTGGGAAGGTGGCTCAGTGGTAGAGTGCTTGCCTTGCATGCATGAGGCCCTGGGTTCGATTCCTCAGCACCACATAAGCAAAATGAAAAAAGCCGGAAGTGGCGCTGTGGCTCAAGTGGTAGGGCGCTAGCCTTGACCTGAAGAGCTGAGGGACAGTGCCCAGGCCCAGAGTTCAGGCCCCACTACTGGACCAAAAAAAAAACAACAACCAGAAAAACAGAAGTGGTGCTGTGGCTCAAAAAAGCTCAGGGACAACAAACACCCAGTCCCCGAGTTCAAGCCCCACAACCAACCAAAACCAAAACCTCCATTCCATGTTCAGAGATATATGTTGAAACTTTTTGTTTTTTGGTCCGGTGGTGGGGCCTGAACTCTGGGCCTGGGCGCTGTCCCTCAGCTCTTCAGCTCAAAGCTAGTGTTCTACCACTTGTGAGCCACAGCACCACTTCCGGCTTTTTCTTTCTGCTTATGTGGTGCTGAGGAATCGAACTCAGGGCCTCATGCATGCAAGGCAAGCACTCTACCACTGAGCCACCTTCCCAGCCCATGTTGAAACTTTTATCTCTGAGTCCCAGAAGTTGGACAGTGAGGATGCCATCACATTTTTATCATCTGACCAATCAGAAAGCAATGCTAAGCTGGGTGTGTTGGAACATACCTATAATCTCAGTTACTCAGGAAGACAAGCAAGAAGATAACAAGTTGTGAGATTCTCAAACACAAAATACAAGCTGGGTGCTGGTGGCTCACACCTGTAACCCTAGCTACTCTGGAGGCTGGGGTCTGAGGATTATGGTTTGAAGCCAGCTGGGGCAGAAAAGTCTGAGATATCTGATGTCCAGTAAACTATTCAGAAAAAGCCAGAAGTGGTCCTGTGGCTCAAGTGGTAGAACGCTAGTCTTGAGCCAAAGAAGCTCAGGGTCTGAAACGCAATCCCTGAGTTTAAGACCCAAGACACACACACACACACACACACAAATGCAGTGTTTCCTTTGGCAGCACATATGCTAAAATTGGAATGATACAGAAATGAGCCCGGCCCCAGCACAAGGAAAAACAAAATACAAAAGGGCTGTGGGCATTAATTGGTGAGGTGCACGCAGTGCCCAGCAGGTGTTAGACTCTGGATTCAATCCTTAATACCTCAAATAAACAAACAAAAAGGAGAAACAATGCTAGAGCTGGGCGGGGCAAGGTGATTCACCATAATCCTAGCCTCCAGGAGGTTAGAGAGAGGGATTTGAAGTTAAGCCTAGAAATCAAAATCCTGTCTCTAGTGAAAATGAGAAAGACTGCTTTTCTACCCCGAACATAGTCCATCTTGTCGAAAGACCATGTCAACAAGTCAGATTTTCTTTTCCCAAAAACTTTCAAAGCCAGTACTTGGACTTGGTAGTTGTGGCAAGAGATTTTTCCAACTGCCGGTCAGCCTTGTTGCTGGGTGCTGTGGGGACTTCTTAGGGGAAGTAAGGCTGTGGGAATGTCTGTGAACACGTTTTTCACCTGGCTAGGAGCTGAATAAATGCTCTTCTGTCTCACGAGTTACACCAAGGGAGGACAATCAAGGTCAGGCAACTGCAGCCTGTACCAGAGCACAGGGACTCGGGGCAGGCAGGGGACTTCGGCTGTTTCTGCAGGGAAGGGTGGACACTGCCCCAGGCTGAGCTGAACCAGCCATGGAGGAGGAGAGTGGGTAAACCAGCTCCTGCCCAGTGAGACCAGCGGGGAGAAGACTGGACCCACCCCTATTTCCGGTCGAGCCCATTTGCCTTCCACTCTTTCCTGTGTCCCCCTCTTCCACCCTCAAGGTGGGTGCAGGCCAAAAGACATCCCCGGGGGGGACAGCCTGCAGAGGGAATCACTGCTCTCCTACTCTGCAGTGGTGCAGGGCCTGCTGGGTTGTGTGATCATGCAGGATGACAATGGCATAAAGGCACTGTCACGGCACACGCTCTCCTAGAAATGCATTGAGCCACTGCCCCAGAGTCCCTCCTTGCTGGTCATGGCTTCCTTGGCTGCTCCTGCTTCCCTCGTGCTCCACAGAAGAGCTGAGCTATGGAGGGTGGGGTTGAAGGTGCTCAATTCAAGCTAGCCTAGCCTAGTCCATTTTGTAAAGGCCTCCATCCTGTTTGGCAGGTAAGGCTTGTGCAGAAACTGTTCTGAATCCAAGCTGATCCCTGCTTGCAAGTGCCTAGAACAGCCGTTTCTTCTAGATCGTAAATGCTTACCCAGCCCTAACTCAACTTCTTTTTTTTTTTTGCCAGTATTGAGCCAGTTTTCGCCAGTAATGAACTCAGGGTCTGGGAGCTGCCGCTCAGCTTTTTCATCAAGGCTGAGCCTGTATCACTTGAGCCATAGATCCACTCCTGGATCTTTGCTGATTAATTGGAGGTAAGAGTCTCATGGATGGCTGGAAATGGTGATTCTGAGTCCTCGGCCTCCTGAGCAGCTGGGATTACAGGCGTGAGCCATGGCGCCTGGCAACCCTTAGGCTCTTGTTTACCTGTCACAGTGACCTGCTGGCTTCTCAGAAAAAAAACTAATCAAACTCTTTCTCAACCTGTTGACAGGACTCTTTTTTTTTTTTTTTTAAATCCCTCTTTATAACCAGGATATTGATTTTTTTTCTAAAAAGACCTCCCTAGACCAACAAAACTTCTCCGGGCCCAGTGAAAAGGCCCCTCCTGGGATTGTAAACTACCCTCTCTCCTCTGCTGAATTCCGGCTCTGTGGGAGTGGGAGAGATCTGCCAAGACTGAGGGCCTAGCCGGGGCCTGGCTAAGGGATAAGAACATACATGGAACATGTTTCTGCAGCCAGTAGCCCTGTCAACAGAACATTCCAGATTCAGGCTCTGACGAAGGCTTTGAAATGGTCAGCAAACACCACAGGGACAAAGTGCAGTAAGCTACCACAACCTGTCACACCTTCAAACTCTGCCTGAAGCGGCCCTCCCCAGCCCTGTTCTCTCCAGCGCGGTGTCACACTATCTCTAAGGCCAAACTGATCTTGATTGGGCCCTCGTGACCGGTGGGAAATTACCAGACCCGGGCCCACCCCAGCGCCCCAGCTGCGGTTCAGCGGGCAGCCTGGTTTCTGTCAATCAGCTTTCCTAGAACCGCAGCTCCCGCCCCACGTCTCCATCAGCGCCGGGCCTGTGTGTTTGTGATCCTCTGCTGGGTCTCATTTCTATTGTTTCAGTGCCAAAAGACTCTATCTATCTCTAGTTTCAGGGCCAATGGAAAGGGTGAACAATCCCTACCTTATGGTCCCCCATGGAGTGAGGGCCTCCAGATCACTCTCCTCTCCTTTCCCACCTGCGGCGTGGTAGGGACCTGCCCCGAGATGCAGGCATCTGGGGATGGGCACTGTGGGGCCCAGGCCTGTTGTCTTAACAATAGCTCATGTACCAGGCACCCCGGGCACCCACGGGGGCAATTAGTGAGTGTAGGAGGGAGTTTCCATGGTGGCCGTCCCGAGGGGGTGCACCAGGGCGCAGGGAGGGACAAGGGCCGGTGGGACATTTCTCCTTTGTCCTGGGTACACTAGGCCTTTGTTCTTGCCTGGTGCTCTTTGGCAGTTGGAAGCAGGGGCATGAATTGGGAGGTGGACTTGGGTTGGTGTCCCCACTCCCCTGGGAGTGAGGAAGCCTCCTGGGGGGGGGGGCTGAGGAGAGGAGGGCAGAGCCCACTCCCGAGCCCAGCCCAGCCTCCCCCATCAGGGCCAACAGTGCCAGTGCCTCACCTCACCTGCCATCCAGAGGCGGAGACAGGCAGCTTCTCATTGGCTCGTGTTGCAGCCAATGAGAAGTGTGCATCCCCAGGCAGGGCTGGGAGGGTGCATGAAAGTGGGAGGGGAAAGGCTCTTTGTCCAGAGTGGGCATGGAGGTCATCGAGCAAACTCCATCCAGGCACCTGCTGCTCAGACTTTATTCCAGCCCCTCATGAGCCTCCCGGCATCCCTTAGCCCAGAAGCAACCTCACCCCCACACTCCATCCACGCTGGCTTTGGTGCTGGGGAGGGCTTGGGCACCAGCACAGCATCCTGATATGTGGCCCACTGGGCTCCCACCAGCCCCTCTGTAACCTTGCTTCATTTCCGTGTCTGTGCTGTGGGGAGCCCCGCCCTGCCCCCACGGCGTGGGCCTTGCCTGGAAGGGAGATGAGTCACCAAGTCCCAGCAGAAAAGTGTAGAACCCACTGTGGGCTGACATCCACCATTAGGATTGGGGGTACTGATCCTTGGTACCTTCAGAAGCGGGTGTCCAGGAAGGACACAGAGCTTCGATGGGCTCTGGGGGCGCCCTCCAGAGAGGCTCCTCGTGCCCGAGGCAGGAGCCCATGAAACGTCTTGCCACGGGTCTGGGGTTTGCGTCGAGGTGGCCTGGACTCCTCGGGAGGCTGGACCACAATTTGGGGCAGCTCAGGTTTGGGGCTTCCCCGCGTCCCTGCCAGCTGCTGGGCCTCAAAGATGGCTTGAGCTCCGGGAAGGCGGGCCTGCAGCTGAGGGTGTGGCCCGGGTGAGGACTCGGCCAGCTGGGCCAGCTGGACCCTGATTTCCCGCTGCAGGTCCCGCTCGGACAGGGCCACACTGTGTACCTGGGGAGAGCCATGGTGCTGAGGTTGCAGGCGTTGGGGGAGAGGCAGGAAGCCCTGGGTGCCTGGGGGGGGGGAGAGGGGAGGGGGACAGGCAGTACAGAGTCCCAGGAAGTGGGTGAGGGCTCAGGGACTCGCAGACAGCCCAGCCCAGCCCAGCCCAGCCCAGCCCAGCCCAGCACAGCGCTGGAAGCCTGAGCTTTACACCATCTGCAGCTCAGAGATCAGGAACTCAGCCTGGGGGGGGGTGGTCTCACGTTGCCTCAGTTTCCCCCTCGGTGCAACACAAAAGAAGGCAGGCAGAGACACCTACCTGGGACATGAAGATCTCCTCTTGCAGCTGGCTGGGGGCAATAGCTCGCAGGGCCCCAAGCGTCTCCAGGAGCCCTGGGCAGGCCCTGCGCTGCTCTGCAGTGCCCAGCGCCAAGCGCATCAGGGTCAAACCCACCCGGAACAGCACCTTGGCACCTGCACGGGGAGGGACTTAGTCACAGGGAGCAGAGCCCTGCACTACCTCAGTTCTGCACCTTATCCTGTCCTCAGAATATGGATCCTGCTGGGTGCTAGTGGTCATGTCGGTAATCTTAGCTACCTGGAAAACGGAGGTCTGAGGACCATGGTTCAAAGCCAGCCTGGGTAGAAAAGTCCCTGAGACACTTATTTCCAACCAACCCCCCCAAAAAATCTGGAATGGAGCTGTGGCTCAAATAGTAGAGCTCCAGCTTTGAACAACAACAACAACAAAAAGCTCAGTGCTAGCATTCAGCCCTGAGTTCAAGCCCTAGGACCAGCACAGACTAACATAAAGGGAGCCTGTGCAAGGCATGTCCTTAAGTAGAGGGGTTGAGGTGGGCTTGGACATCTTGCCTGGCCTGAGTCTTGAGGTCTGAAGGAAGGGAGGTAACACATGGATGAAGACTTGAAAACTAGCAGCCAGAACACTAAGGGAGCTCCTGCTCTTAGCCCTGCATACGGGGTGCAGAGCAAGCGTCCAATAGATGAATGAACTGATTTCTGGCACTTTTCTCTTTTTTTTTTGGCAGTCCTGGAGCCTGAACGCAGGGCCTGAACACCCTCCTTAATGCTTCTTTATGCTCAGGCTAGAATTCTATCACTTGAGCCACAGCACCACTTCGGGCTTTTTCTGTGTATGTGGGTGCTGAGGAATCAAACCCAGGGCTTGGTGCATGCTAGGCAAGCACTCTACCACTAAACCACATTTCCTGCCACGCTCCTGTCACTCTCTGTCACCTCCTTGGTTTTATTTCTTCATGGCCCTGGTGACATGCTATAAATACCTTGTTAATTTGGTTACTGTCACCTCCCACCCCCATCCCCACCCCGGCAGAATGAAGTTCTCACAGTGGAGGGGGTAGGCCAGTCTTGGCTACCTCTGGGTCCTAGAGGTGCTCAGCCAGAGCCTGCGGGCTTGGAGGAGAACTGGCTTCCTGTCCAAGGCCACGTCCAGCCTTGCACACCCCTGAGCCACTCAGAGGTCCCACAAGTGCCATGGCCACCCCAGCTCCCCCCTGGGCAGTGCCTCTTCTCCCTATGGTGGGGGCTGGCGGCCATCCCACGGATGAAGTACCACCCAGGGCTGGGCGGTGTCCTCCAGAGACTCGCCCATGCCCCATGATGTGACCAGCACCCCCCAGAAGGGAGCTGCCTCCCCAGTGCGCCCCGTGACCGGAGCCCCCGGCTGTCCCACTCACCCTCGCTGAGGAAGGCATCCCAGACGCGCAGCACGGTGGGGAAGGGCAGCGAGCGCGTGAAGAGGCACAGGAACCACTCGGGCAGGTAGAGCAGGGGTCCCACGCCCGCCCGCTGCAGGTGCTGGTGCACGCGGGGAAGCAGCCGCCGCAGCAGCGCCATGAACACATCGGCGTCCAGCCGCACCGCCTCCTGCAGCCACGTCCATCGGTCGGGGGCCCCTCCACACCTCCACTCCCAAACCCCAGGGTTCGAATCTCCGTCCCCAGCCCCCCTCCTGTCTCCAGTCTCCTTCCCAGACTCTCACCATGTGGGGCCCGTAGTAGCCGGGGAGGTAGAGCTCACAGATCTGCACCAAGCACCAGAAGGCCTCCTGAGGGCGGGGCAGAGGCCTTGAGTCCCCCCAAGGAAGGGAACACATATATGGGGGAAGGACTGGGAACGGGGTGCAAGGGGCTGGGTTGCTCCAACCACATGTGATGCCTAGGGGGGCTCTTATCAAAAGAGCCTGGCCTGCGGGGGGGGGGGGGGGGGGGGGAAGGGAGGGGACAGGCAGAGCTTGGAAGTCCCAGGACTCAGGTGCTGGGTTTTGAGCATGGCCATTGGAGAGGCCCCAAAGTTCACTGTTCCTGGGACACTACAGAGTTTGAAGTTGGTATAGTCAGAAGATCAAGGTGAAAACTTCCCAATGGCTAGGGCCGGGGTTAAGATCAAAGGCCCCGTGGAACAGGGTGTGGGAGTAAAGGAACACAGGATCCTGAGTTCCTGGGACTGGAGGTCCTGGGTTTTAGAACTTGGATCATTGGGAGGGGGGACCCTAGCACTCCAGGGACTGAGGGTCTCCATCGAGCTAAGGTCAGGGTCTTAGAGCAGAGCCAAGGTCACTCACCTCTGGGGGCAGGTGCATAAGCAGCACTGCAGCCACAGGACCCTGGGCCTGGCAGTAGCCTTGCTCCGGTCGGTACAGGGTGTAGGCCTTGAGAACCTGCAGGAGCCCCTGCTGCCTGTATAAACCCCCCCCCAAAATCAGGGCTCACCCACCAGACATCCCTTTCCTCCCCTTGTACTCTGTAGATCCCTGTTCCCTGCTGAATCCCCACAAACCCAGCTGCAGCACTTAGGGGTGGGGGGGGACTGGGGATCGTGGACATCTCCAGCCTCATACCCGTGGCCCTGGGGGGACACAAACATCTCGTGCAGAGGGAACTGGCGGTGCAGGTCCCTGCTGATGGCCTCCATCCACTGCGGGTCTCCGCGGGCGTCTGCCAGCTCCTGGGGGTGGGCAGGAAGAGAGCTGTGAGGGTCCAGGGTGTCAAGGACTTCTGGGAAGGGGAGATGGAGTCCCTGCCGGTGTTGTCACCTGATAGGTGCCAGGGCTGTTCTTCTGACACACTCGGGCACCACACAGCAGAGGCCAGCAGCGGGCCCGCAGCGCTGAGGGAATCCCCTTCCGGCACTGGATCTTCACCTATGCAAGAGGCGGATGGGCTCAGTTAGGCAGTCTTCCTGCACCTGCTGGCAAGCCTCAAGCAAACCTCCTGTTGTCCAAGGGCCACTTGGGTGGCAGGGAACAAAGGCCATAGCTTTTGGGTAACAGAGGGTGCCAATGCAGGGGCTCTCTGCTCTTCTCCCCCCCCCCTTCTCCACCATCTTTTTGTCAGTGGTGGGGCTGGAACTCTGGGCCTGGACATTGTCCCTGAGCTCCTCAGCTCAAGGTGAGTGCTCTACCATTTGAGCCACAGCGCCACTTTCGTTTTTCTGGTGGTTCATTGGAGATAAGAGTCTCACAGACTTTCCTGCCTGGGCTGGCTTTGAACCATGATCCTCAGATCTCTGCCTCCTGAGTAGCTAGGATTACTGGTGTGAGCCACCAGTGCCCAGCTTGCTCTTACCTTCTTGTACCTACGGGACATAGTTTTTTCCCAGTGTGAGGTCATGTCCACCCACTTCATCTCTCTCTGGCGGATAAGGTCTGCAGGAGGACGATCCGGCCTAGGCGACATGTAACATAGGTGTTTCCCAGAAGCTGTTCCTTAGAGCCTCGACCTCACACCCTCCCCTCCACGCGAATATCAGCAGGACAGTCTGAAGAAGTAAGTGCCTATGTGCTGGGGAAGGAGCTGTTTGTTGGCTGAAACCCAGGACAGCGACCCAATGGTGATTCATAGAGGGATCTGGGAACTAGAAGTCCTGAGTTTTAATCTGCTTCTGTCTCATTTCTGCTGTGTGACCTCAGGAAAGTTTCTGTCTGTCTCTGAACTTATTTTCCTGTCTATATATTGGGGAAGAGATGTAAATTCTGTGACTCTGATCTGGGATTCCTGGGCAGAGATTACAAAGGGGGAAGAGAGCTGAAGCTGGCGCTGATGGCTCACACCTGTAATCCTAGGTATAATCCCAGCTACTCAAGAGGCTGAGATATGAGAATTACAGTTTGAAGACAGCCTGGGCAGGAAAGTCTGTGAGACTATCATTTCCAATTAATCAGCAAAAAGCTGGAAGTGAAGCTGTAGTTCAAGTGGTAGAGTGCTAGCCTTCAGCAAAAGAAACTAAGGGACAGTACCCTGAGTTCAAGCCTAGTACTGGCCTACAAATAAAGGGGGATGGGTGAGAGGAATGATGTTGAGCTGCAGGAATACATGAAGGTGCTCAGAGGCTGGATGAAAGAGAAAAGGAAGTAGTGTTGAGGCTCAAAGTGGTACAGCACACACCTTCAGCAAAAGGAGCTCAGGGACAGTGCCCAAGCCCTGAGTTCAAGCCCCCATGATGGAGGGGGGGGAGGAGAGAGAGAGAGAGGCAGAGACAGACAGACAGACAGATAGATAGACAGACACACACACACACACAAACACGCACATGCACGCACACACACAGAGACACCATCTCTTCACTGCCCTTCCACCTCGAGTCTGAGGAAGGATGGCAGTGGTTGAATCCTGAGCTCAGTTCTTACTACCAGACCTTCTCAGACCTGTGTGGTTAGGCCTCACTCCAGAATTTAGGCCTCAGATCCCGCACCCCCCATCCCCCCCATAACCTTGTCCACTCACCCTGGCTCTGCTGAGCTGCCCCCGATGAAGCCATACCGGTCAGCCTGGCGATAGGGACTGGGCCCGTTGAGCTCTGAGTCGGATCCCAGAGAGCTGGAGTCATCCTGCGCCAGGTCCTCCCCCAGGGCCCGGGCCATGATGCCCCAGAGCCCCGAAGTCACAGACTGCAAGATGTGCAAGGGCCGGGATGAGGGGTCACTCCTGGCCAGGGTTCCCCACCAGTAATCCCCAACCTCAGGCCTGGCAGTGGGGCCAGAGGGACTAGGTTTGGGGGTCTTTAATCAAGCCCCCTGTGTGCCCTCTTTTATTGGGTCCTGGGCTAGGCCCTGAAGTGACAGAAAGGTGGAGACTCAGTGCAGAGACCTGGCCCAGGCCCAGGCCCAAGCCAACCAGACCAGCTCACCTCTCTGCTGTATCTCACCTCCTCTTACTTCCTCTTCAAACAGCTTCAGTAGCTGGTTGGGGGCCCCTCCCAAACAGAGGGGGGTGACCCCTTCCTCTGTGAGGCTCTTCCTGCCTACCCCAGTGCTCCAGAGCCACAGGCTCCTCCCCTGTCTCTCAAGCAGCTTGGGCCTGCCAGAGATGAAGACAAGATGCCAGGGCATCTCATTTTGAGGTTACTGATCTGTAAAACACCCAACTTAGGGCTCCAAGAAGAATTACGGTTGGTTTAATGTTTTCTCTTTATAAAGTAATAATTTTTTCCCCTCAATGATGGGGGTGTCCTGGGGCCTTGCACACACCAGGCAAGTACTTAGTTCTGAGCTACAACTCCAGCCTGCATGTACACAATGAACTAGTGCTATGCTGCTCCAAAAGTAATGCTGACCCCATACCTGTGGCTCATGCCTGTAATTCTACATACTCAGGAGGCTGAGATATGAGGATCACAGTTCAGGGCAGAAATGTCTATGAGAACCTATCTCCAATTAACCACCCAAACAGCTGGTAGTGCTTTGGCTCAAGTGGGAGGGCTACCCTTGAGCACAAAAGTTCAGGGACATTGCCCAGGCTCTGAGTTGAAGCTTAGGGCCAGCAAACACACACACACACACACACACACACACACACACACACATACAGAGTTAAAAAAACAAAACAAAACCTAACTTAGTGGGGGTAAAGGAGGCTCACACCTGTAATCCTACCTACTCCAAAGCTGAGAGAGGAAAGATCTTTTGATGCTAGCCAGGAAAGTTCACAAAACCCGAAGGAAAGGGGAAAAAAAAAAACCAATAATAAAGCTGGAGGTATAGCTCAGATGGTAGAATGCCATCCTAACAAGAGGGAGGTCCTGAGTTCAAATCCCAGTACCCTTTAAAAAAAGATTTAGGGCTGGGAAGGTGACTCAGTGGTAGAGTGCTTGCCTTGCATGCCTGAGGCCCTGGGTTCGATTCCTCAGCACCACATAAGCAAAAAGAAAAAGGCTGGAAGTGGCGCTGTGGCTCAAGTGGTAGAGCGCTAGCCTTGAGCTGAAGAGCTGAGGGACAGCGCCCAGGCCCAGAGTTCAGGCCCCACGACCGGACACAAAACAAAACAAAATTAAAAAACAACAACAACAACAAAAAAAGAAAAAGCCAGACCTGGAGCTATGGTTCAAGTGGTACAGTGCTAGTCTTGAGCACAGAGGCTCAGGGACAGCGCTCAGACCCTGAGTTCAAGCCCCAGAACTATCACACACTAAAGAAGACAGGGCTGGGAAGGTGGCTCAGGGGCAGAGCGCTTGCCTCGCATGCATGAGGCCCTGGGTTCCATTCCTCAGCACCACAGACACAGAAAAAGCCAGAAATGGCGCTGTGGCTCAAGTGGTGGACTGCTGCTAGCTGTGAGCACAAAGAGGCTGGAGGACAGCGCCCAGGACCAGAGTTCAAGCCCCGGGCCGGCAAAGAAAAGAAAAGAGAAGACAGGAGGCACATGCAATGTGAAGCAAAGGATCCTGAGTTCAGACACGGTTGCCAGCTGCCTGGAAGCCGCGGAGACCCCGTGCTGGGATGTCTGAGCCTCAGTTTCCTTTCCTGAACTTTGACGACTTTCTCCACAGTGATTAATCTCCGCGCACACACTCGCCCCGAGCTGGGGCGGGAAGGACGGCTCCGCCTTCCGCAGAGAAAAACAACTTCCACAGAACTTCCGGTCCCACATCCTCCGACCGCCGCTGAGTGACTCCCCAGGGGCGGGGCCTGCCTGCCTCGCCTCTGCTCGGTAGGTCCCGCCTCGCTCGGCAGGAGCCCCGCCCTCGGGCCGCCGGGGTCACTGCGCTTTCCTTCCAGCGGGGGCGCTAGAGCACGGGGCACCGGCGGGGCGGGGCGGGGCGGGGCGGACGGCCGAGGAGGCGGGGCGGCGGGCCGGGGGCGGCTCCGAGAGGGCGGGAGGCAGGAGCAGGCCCGTAGCTGTTGGGCCGGAGCGGCGGCGCCGCCATGTCCGACAGCGAGAAGCTCAACCTGGACTCTATCATCGGGCGCCTGCTGGAAGGTGGGCTGGGGTGGGGAAGGGCGGCCCCCGCCGCGCCCTGGCCCTGGCCCCGGCCCGGCCCGGCCCGGAAGCGGCGCGCGGGCGGGTCTGACCCTCCGAGGGCCAGCTTGGACTGGGCGGGGACGGGCCGCGAGGTCCCGAGGCCTCAGCCTCCCCTCCCCCCGCCGCGGGCACGTCCCGGAGGTCGGGGCGCCCTCGGGTGGGGGCAGCCACCCCCTCCTCGCCCGTGCCCGGGGCGCACGCCTGGCCTGGGCTCTTGGGGCGGGGAAAAAAGCTACGAAACCTAGCCCGGAAAGGGGTCCTGTGCTATTAGGACATGGGTGACAGACCCGTCTCGAGGGTCTCCAGGGTGGCTGGGGTCTTGCCTTGGGAGGCCTTGAGGCGGAGAATCCTGGGGTCAGGGTTCACCGATGCCTATGGTCCAGGAGAGGCCCAGGTTTCTCCCCCCCTCTCCCGCAAAGCGGGGCCAAGAGACCACCCCACCCGAATCGCCCCGCTTCCTTCCGTCTGAGGACCTTAACACCCCATTGCGCTCCCAGTTCAGGGCTCGCGGCCTGGAAAGAATGTACAGCTGACAGAGAACGAGATCCGTGGTCTGTGCCTCAAATCCCGGGAGATTTTCCTGAGCCAACCTATACTTCTGGAGCTGGAGGCCCCCCTCAAGATCTGCGGTGAGCTCCTAGCCAAGCCCTGACTTCTTGAAAATGACATTGACCCTCCCCAAAGTTCCTGGATCTCTTTTCTCTTGAGCCCCATTTCTGGCCCTGGGTTCAAGTTCAGGTCTTACCTCTAACTTCCCTGGATCACAGGTGACATCCACGGTCAGTACTATGACCTTCTGCGGCTGTTTGAATATGGTGGCTTCCCTCCAGAGAGCAACTACCTCTTCCTGGGGGACTATGTGGACCGGGGCAAGCAGTCTTTGGAGACCATCTGCCTGCTGCTGGCCTATAAGATAAAGTACCCTGAGAATTTCTTCCTGCTCCGTGGGAACCATGAGTGTGCCAGCATCAACCGCATCTATGGCTTCTATGATGAATGTAAGTGGTCTGACTGTTGAGGACTGCCTGGGGCAGGAACTGCACTCTCTGCTCTGCATGGGACCTTCGTATTGGCCTGGTGTCAAAATGCTTGGTGTACTTGAGAGTGCAGGGAGGCCCCGTCCCTTCATACCTGCCTTCTCTGACCTGCAGCTTGATAATCTAGAGGGGCCTGGTGTATAGATACACCTGGAGGGTTGCTGATACACCTGGAGGGTTGCTCCCAGGGCCCTGCTTGATGTCAGGTCCTTCACCAGGATGTCCGGTAACTGAGCATTTAGGATGCCCTGGTGTACACTAGACTTTGCTGGTCCAAAGCAGAGATAAAACAGAGCTGGTTTGGGCTTGGCCCTACTCAAGCCTATGAGTACGTCAGACTGGAATTTGGGTTCTGTGGACTTTAGGTGCTTTAGAATTATTCTGGAAGGTAGGTAGGGGTGTGGTGAGGTAGAGGTGGAAGGCTTGAGCTGTCTCTTGCCTTCAATCTTCTAGCTAGCCCACAAAGTACCCTAGAAGAGCCAGAGAGGGGGCTGGGAAGGTGGCTCAGTGGTAGAGCGCTTGCCTTGCATGCATGAGGCCCTGGGTTCCATTCCTCAGCACCACATAAGCAAAAAGAA